AATAAAACGATACCTCTGGCTAAAAATTCGAAAAGAATTCAGAATGGAAAGTTTTTATTGAATGTTATATATTTATCTGCATACTTACCTCTATTAACTCCTTTTTTTTTGAAGATTTTTTTTGAAGAATTTGAAGATTTTTTTGTCATTTTTTCAATAGTTTTCTTATTTCTTATTTCTTAATTCTTAAGAATACTTACCTTTTTTATACTTATCTTTTACTGCAAGACACGTTATATTTTTACAATTTTAACATATTTTTTTTATTGTTTTTTTACTTGTAGAAAATTGAGAATTATAGTAGGTATCTCATATCTGGAATATCTTACTCTTTGGTAATTTAAGAAATATTTTTCGAATAAGATGCACAATTTTAATTAAGATTATATTTTTAATATTAATTTTTCATAGATGAACTAAAACTTGTCTATCTCAAGTTTAATTTTAAATAGATTATATTTAATACGTTATATATTTTTTAATACATTAATGGATGTATTTTGCCATTCTCTATAAAAAATATTATAACATATCATTTTTAATTTAGATAATCTTAAATATAATTGAATATCTCTTTAATTTTATAAGTGATTTACTGATTTTTATTTAATAATAGTAATTATTTAGTAAATTTCATAGAAAATGTCGTGCTATTTGTATTTATGTATTATAAAATCTATTTAAAAATACAAAGTTTATCTTCACATATCTTACACATGTTATTCAATTATTTGTTGTTTTGAAATGATTTAACTGTAACTTGAAACATTTTTTAAACTCACCTGTTATATATTGATCGCTGACCATCCTAATATAACTTAATAAATCTAAGTAAGTTAATAAATTAGTACTTAAGGGTTATATATTATATATATGCATACGTTGTCAAAAATATTTACATGTAGACATTAGTACATTTAAATATTTTTTGCGAATAATAAAATAGATCTTAGTATATGTGTAAAGAAAAAAATTATCTAAAATAGTTGCTTTGACGATAGATTTATGTTATAATATTAAAATCGATGAGTTCAGAGCTAATCAGCATGTTCTGGATTATTCATTATAATTAAATTCTTTGATAGATAGAATTAATTTTTTGCACAATTAATAGAACTTTCTTTTAAATTTTGCATACCTTTCAAGCTTCCAATTAGAAATCAAGTAGAAAAGTCTATTTTTCAACGTGTCTCGTACAGAATCATGCGTGAAACTTAATCTATCTCAAGAAAAAAAAAAAAAAAAACTTAATAGTCCATCATAAAATGGTGGAAGGTAACAAACACGGAATTAGTCAATCTTGCTTTAAAGGCTAAGAGGCTTAAACGTTTAATAGACATATTTGCATAATAATTTCGAGATTAACTCTTTTCACGTAATTTTAAAGACTGAATAACTAACCTGTAAGCGATAAATGCATCGTGAACTTTTCCAGAAGCGGCGAGACAACGTCCCAACAGGTAAAGGCTTTGCCCGCTTTTCGGTTCCGCTTCGATAGATTTTTGCAGACAGTGGATGGCAATTGCTTGCTTCTGCTGTCTTGTTATACCAAGCACTGTGCAATCAACCACGTGATACATCCATCCTATAACAATATATCGAAATTCGAACGCGTAAATAATAACGCGTAATTATATTCAATTAAATTCAATTAAATTAAAAGACGATTAGATTCGCTCGTTATCACTATCGTCGATGATTAATGAAAAATTCTAATCTTTTCGTTACGAAGAAGACACGTACGATAATAGTAGGTGAATAATATAATATAATAGTACGGTCGTAAAATATATCAGCTAGCTAAAATTTTGCAATGAAAATATTATTTTAAAATATCTTTTGAGGTTATAAAAAATTCTTGAATGGTTATTATTCTTTTCTTTTCAAACTATTTCTTGTTAGATACAGTTTTTAATATCAAATATATGAACAAATGAAACGCATATTAAGAGAATATAATTCATCGATGAAAAGATAAAAGTATAGTCTAATTAGAACGGTTCAATAATCCTATTATTATTTTACAATTATTATATTATTATTTATACTAACTGTCTATTGTTATTTTATTACCTATTATTATTTTATTGCTCGGCTTATATAGTCCCCAGTGTTAGGCCAACGTTTAATCCCTCGCATCTAAACCGATCTCTCTTTCACGCACACTTCCGCGGATCTTCGAAAAGCCTGTTGGCTCGCGATATCTCAACAAACAAACAAAACCGTACGAATATTCGCATTTCACGACGTGGTAATTTCAAGACGTCGAATTATTTATATTTCATCATCACAGGATTGAAGGGAAAACGACAAAAAAGGAACGAATAGATCACGAGAATAAAACGAAAGGTGTCGCAAGAGCGCGAATCAAGATGAAATCGAAGGACTCTCCAACGTTCCCTTCGAGTTGGATTGCTGCGAATTGTGGATGTGTTGTTGCCTGAACGCTAGACGAGTACCGAACTGAATAGATTTTCGCAGGTATAACCTAGGGTAGCCACTTTTACCCCACTCTCCCTTCGAGGCGGTCTCGAATTACAACCCTCTATAAACATAGGCGTAGAAACGGTTGTGCGAGGACCTACGTCTTGGGAAAATAGTCGTTGAGTAGATGGCTAGGATATCTCTCAGTGCAGAGGGAAAATTGTTCACGAGATTTCTATTCTTCCTTTTTCTTTTTTTTTTAAATAAATGATTGTGCCTATCTAAGAAACGTCTAAATTCAAATTGTTCTTAGGTATTCTTTGGATTTTTCTTCTGTACGTACATGTGGGAACGTTTTCTCAGGAGTTGATGAATTTTTTTTTTCTTTTTCTTTTTTTTGTTTTGCTTTATTCAAATTATCCTGTATCTACATAGGGACAAAACGGTCTATGTCTTGGGGAATAACTGAAACTGTTCTTTTGCGGAGAAAAAAATTATTCAGGAAAGCCAGAAATTATTATTTTGTTCCAAAGTAATTTATAGTTATGGGAAGATAATTCAAATATTTTTTTTTGAAGAAGAAGTTTACGATTAATAAGAAGTTGATGAATATTTGGATTACATTTATGATTAACATAAATATGAATTTTTATTCACTGTCATATTATTATATATAGTAATGATTATATTTAAACAATCTTATTAATATTATAATAAATTAATCTATATAGATTTAAATCTAGATAGATTTGATTCGAGAATGTAGCAAATTTAGAAATTCATACAATAATTATTATTTTTTTTTTCCTTGTTAAATAAACGATTCATAAATCAATTATCGATACTACTGTCATCAATATAATTACATGTTGCAATAATTACATGTTACATTACATCTCAAGAGAAAAAAAAAAAAAGAAGAAAGAATTTGTGTTCTTACCTAGAAGAAATATATTCCTTCTACATTTAAAAATATTCTGTTTCGCCAAAAAATGTTTCACTTTTTCATCTCTGGTCGCTCGAAATATTATTTTTCCATTTATGCGACAACACATTTCCAAACGCTCGATTTTTAATTATAATAATTCTCGTGCCTTTGCACCAGGTATTATACTCTGTAAATTAAATACGTGCCGTGGGAAAACGAGAGTTTCGCAACAAGTTGTTACACAATCGTAGAATGCGATGCTAAACGCACGGCGATTCTAAATGGAATTAAGTCGGTCGGCTCATAAAGCATCCGGCGAAATTAAAGCGTCTACTGTGCTCTAATTGTCGCTCGCCATTCATTCATTCTTTCAATCCTCTGTTTTCGTTTTTTCCCAACCAATTACACAATGGATCTCGATATTTCATTTTCATTGCATATATTTATTTTACTTTACTCGTGTATTCCATGCCTTTTCACGTTCCCTTCGTTTTCCTTCGCCCTTTTCAACGAGAATTATACGTACACAGAGAAATATAATTAAACTCATTCGATAACGATTGATATTTAAATAAATTTGTGTTTAATAAATTATAAATTTATTTTTAATATGTCATTTCTTTTTTTTTGAAAATTTGTTTAAATTTGTTTTTCGATTTGTTTGTTTCAATAGAATTTCTTAGAAAAACTTAAGAAGAGAATAAAGTTTTTCTTTAATTGGGAAATATTTATTATATAAAATTCTGAATATTAATTTTATTAAAATTCTTATTTTCATTTGAATTGCAATTGTTCGTATAATAACTCTTTATTAAGCGTTAATTGAAATTGTTTTAATAATAGGATGTATTGCAATCTATTCTAAATTTGCTTTGAATGAATGTGAACTAAATTAAAGCGACCATTGTATTGTAATTATACGTATACTTGATTCGTTCGTTTGTTCATTCAACCTATATAAACCTTTATCTAACAATAGTTCCTTACAAATTACAATATAAATGATTTAAACCAATTGATTATCCTTTACAACATTTAACTAAGTTAAATTTTGTTAAATGTTAAACTTTTAATTTCAACTTTTACAAAACATTCTATTCACACGAACTGACTTTCGCAAAAATTGCGTTTTCAGAATTGTGTTTTACAATTTAAAGTCAAAGATTCAAAGAAAAAAAGAAGTGAAAACTAAAGGGGAATAGGGGTGGAGGGAGGGAGGATACTTTTTAAAATCAATTTAACACGCGTATATATCTGTTTTCAGTGGAAAGCATCAGAAATTGTTTCAAACTACGTGTTACAAGACGGTACAACGTGTAAAATCTCAGGCCAAAAGTAAACAGTAATAAAGCGACCGCACTCCATGATTTACGAACTAAGACGTTTGCAACATAATTACACCAATATCATAATCTACCATGACAATAAAGTCGCAAGCTGTGCTTCAGACAGATTATGAAAAGGCAACCCCTGTCGCCTTTGAAACGTCTTCGTTATAAGAAATAAATCTTACGCCTCAACCATACTTTCCTATCTCTCGATGTAAAATTTTCCAAGATCTTTTGAAATATTTATGGTACCATATATATTTGTCAAACAAATTTTAAATCTTAAATAATTTATACATCTATATCAATTTATAATGCGTAATAATAATATCGATACGCACAAAAAATAAATATTTTAATATCCAAGTTTCGTATTAACTATTAATTGAAATCATATGAAAATCACCACCAACTACGATACGAAAAATATATATATATTATTAAACACGTAAAAAAATCACATTTTGTCGCACACGTTTAAAAATTCGTATCAAAGAGAAGCGAGAAGCTAAGAAGAAATAAAATTGTTGAATGAGGATAAGGGTAAGTACAAGGCTGAGCTCTGACGACCAGGGAAGGCCAAGTTATGAAATAAACGAGGGGGAAAAAATCGCGGAAGAAAAAAAGAGGAGGAAAAAAGAAAAGAAAAAAAAAAGGAAGAAAGAAGGAACATCGTATCGAACCGGTCCCGATGTGGACACGCGAGAAGCCGTAAACAGGTTGTAAAAGAGTCCTGTACCGTTCAAGACCCGTAAGAATGAGGCTATATAAGCGTGCAGAAGTTTCGAGGCAATTAGCTCCTTCGGTTCCGCCATGGGGGATGGAGGGTGATCGAGAAGGGCGGGATGTTGTTGCGCTCAACTTTAATAAGTTTGTTTGCTCGTTCTGCACTTTATAGCTTTAATATGTTTGGTTCGAAATAATTGGGAGGAAGGAGGGAGAAAGGGGGATTATTTACGAAAACGATTTTAAATATGGATAAATTATATATTGAAATTTCACCATTACACGTAACATTTAATATTTTCCTCGATGTTAGGAATTTCCCCTTAAATAAATATCACAGCGCAGCGACTCAAAATTTCTGATGGAAAATGGATTTGGATGCCTTCTTGCACAATTGCGTGATGTGTAGAAATTTGTACACAATGAAGCAAAAGCGCCTTCAGAAATCTTCGTGCAGATAGGAGATTCAAGTTCACCGTCGTAAAACTTGGACTTCCTCGAGAGGGCCTTGTCGATCAGCTAGATCGATCTTTTAAGTTGTGTCATCGTCAACCAGAGAATTCTCACGCGAGTTTAAATTCTCACGGGCCGTATCCGTTGGAGAAAATGTGTGGAATCCCAATTTTCCTTTGAAATTTCGCGTGTCGTTCTCCTTTATTTACAATTTCCGGGTTCCTTCCCTTAATTTCTCTCCGCTTTCCTCTCTTTCTTATTCTTCTCGCGTTTCGGTATGCAATGAATATGTTAGGAAGCGAGAAAGGAATAAACACGAGGTCAGGGGCTCATCATGGAGGCATTTAAATTATCGAAGCAGGATATCGACTTGGTTTCCAGACGCAATTTCCAGATACTGGAGGCCGCGTGCCGATGTAATGGCATTTTATTGAGATGACGATCGTTCGCCTTTTCGTCGTTCGATTTCGAGACGGAATCTTATGGAGGTTGAAACCTTGTTCTTTGCTTTCTTGGATGATAGATAATGCAACATCTTTCGAATTCCTTCGATCGGATAATTAAATCGACGTCGTTAAAATATTCTTCAAATCAAGGTAATAATAACGAAAATCAGATAATTTATTTCCACTTCGCGAAATTGTTCCCGAAAATATTTTTCCATTTTCTCGTTCCGATACGAGTAACAGAATTTTTCGAGGAAAAAAAAATATCCAAAGATATTTTTCAACGCCCTTTTATTTCGAGATGAAATATTTATCCTCTCACGCTTCGATGCGAAACGAATTCTTCTTCTTAGCAATTTTCCAATTGTCCCCTCACTGAAACGAAATAATTTCCAATTTTGGTGATCCGGCAAGTGAAAGTAAAAGTCCGTGACTCTCCCCTCGAAGAGCTTACCAACGATTCTCCTCCTCGTTTCCTTTGAGGCGTTTCTATTCGAACAACCTTCCATGTGTCGAGGGATTTTGCGACGCGCAAGTGGGTCAGCAGCAACGTGCAGCTTGACCCGTATAATCTTTCGGTTCTACCTGCCGTGTCACGTAGTGCATACCACCTCATTAAACGGCGGCCGAGTACGTTCGTAACACACATTTCATCCGCTTGCGGAGTGCATACGGCCTTAATGCATCGACACTTTGAATATTTCATCCTCTCTTCCCTCGTGCTTTGCATTTTCAACGTTTTTTTAAAAAAAGTAGAATATCTTCGAAAAAGGTAGAGGGAATAGTTGGCCGAATAGTAGCGATATGGATTTTTAGTCGTCTTTGAAACGATGCGGCACGAAGCCAACGAAGCATTCCGGAAATGCTACGAGAGAAAAATGATAAGTTAAGATAAAAGAAAGAAAAGTAAAACGGAAGAAACCTTTTTAGATTCGACAAAATTTTTCTCTTCTCCTCTCCAATAATTAATAATTAAATATCTAAACACTTTACTTAAAAAGAAATAATCCTCGTTCGAAGAGAGTCCAAAATAATAGCCCCTCTATCTCGTCCAATTTAATTTTTTATAGAAAGATATATAAATTTCCATTTCACCCTGTGTATAACCTATAATTGCACGCGTGCATAATTTACCCCCGTATTAAGAGCAACAAACGACATAAACGTGGAATAAATTCAAGCCTAACTCGAAGTGGGATTTGTCGGATAAGAGGTCGTCTGGTAACAGGGCTCAATTATAATTCCATAACTCGAGGCGGCAATCTTGGCCGGCTTTAACCGCCGCTTTAATCCGACCCGTGGCGAGTTAATAACGTGACGAAAGATATGGGCGGCGGTGTGGAAATTGCGCCGATGCACGAGTGCACGCGCCGCGACGCTCTGCTCCCCGCGCTAGTTGATCGGTTGTGCGCGGAACCGGCCAAACCTGCAGGCCACGAGACATTGGGAGGACGACAACATGTGACGAACGTAGGTTGGAAGGGGATGGAAGAAAGCGGGGGATATTAGAAAAGAGAGGAAGAGGGGGGTGCAGAGGGAGAATTGTTGAGAAAGGAGAAGAGCTAATGAGAGCGAGGGATAGTGGAAAATGGAGGAGTGTGGATTATTTGAAAAGAGAGGGATGAGAGAGAGAGAGAGAGAAAGAGAGAGAGGGAGAGGGAGACTTTTAGTAAAAAAAAAAAAANAAAAAAAAAAACGAAAGCGACGAGAAACTAATGAGAGTGGAGTGATAATGGAAAAGAGGGAAGAAGGATGAGAGCTACTAAAAAAGAAGGGGAATGAGGGATATTGAGAAAGAAGGAAAGAGAGGATGGAATAAAGAGGGCGATGGAAAAAGTTAAAGAGAATAGAAAAAAATATTAGAAATGAGAGCGAGCGAAAGAAAATGAAAGGGGTGCTGAACCCTGAAAAGATACGAAGCAATGGAATAGCGGAAAGAGTGAGAGAATTCAAGGTAATTGAAAAAAGAGAAGTAGAGCGATGAAAGACTAGAGAAAGTGATGAACATCGAAAAAAAAAAAGAACTCAACGATGGAGACCGATAGAGAAAGTGGAGAACATCGCTAAATACTCTACGACCTCGATATTTTCTCTCCAATTATATATACTCGACAAGAACCAATTAGAAAAGAATACAAAGAATAAAATAATAACACCGAAATATTAAATTTAACGAAAAATTTAATCTCGATTCACTAACTAACTCAAACAAAAAAAAAAAAAAAAAGAGATAAAAGAAAAAGGTTAGATAAACGTAGAAAGGGTAAGATTAAAAGGTTCCCACAATCTTGTCTCCTTATCAAATTCGATTCCCTCTCTTCCTCCTTTCTCTCTCTCTCTCTCTCTCTCTCTCGGTTTTCTTCTCTCGCTCAAATACGCACCCTCTCCCTTGACCCCTCTCTGCTGCCGAGTTTCGCCGCCCCATCTCATCGCCAAGCCACCCCAACCCGGAATAAATCAATACACGTGTCTGCTACTTGCTCGTACATTCGGCTGGGGCCTTAAACCGAATCGTCGTCGCGAGGAGGAGTTGACAGCTCGCGAGGAGGAAAATAATTCGAAGGCCTGATTTCACACTATTCGTACAGATGGTTGAGGATTTAATTAAGCCTGCGGAGAGGATAGAGGGAGGGAGAATGACGTTTCTGACTATGTTGCCAGAAAATAGAGGATGAAAATAGAAACTGGATTTCTAATTAATTTGATTTTGCATCTTTTCGAAATAGAGAAATATTAATAATTGTCTAATCCTCCATTGATATTGTTAAATAATAACTAATTGTTACATAAGTTTAGATTTTGATTTTATATTGTATTTATATTTTATTTATATTATAGATGTATAATATAAAAAAATAATGAAAGGATTGTAGGGAGGATTTGAGAATTGTTTAATAATAACTTAGTTTCGTATCGAATAAAGAAACAATTTAAATAATTTTGTGATTACAATTCAAAAAAATAATTTTGACGTTCATTACAATAATTATATTTTATAATTAATAAAAATTGTTGTGACTCACCTAATTGACGACAAATGTCGGCCTTCAGGTGCGAAGGCAGAGTTTTTTCCTTGAGCAATGCCTCGTAATGTTCTTTAGCAAGACGATATTTCCCTTGGACTTCGTATAAATGAGCTATGTGAAATTTTACTGAAACACAAAGAGAAACAATATTTTAATATAACATTAATAATTATAAAGCATATGAAATTACAAAATATATTGTATACGTAAAATAAAAAAAGAAACAAATTTAAATTAATGGAAAAATATTTTAAATAATACGAATATATGTATATATATATATATATATATATATGTGTGTGTGTGTGTGTGTGTGTGTGTGTGTAATAATGTAACATTAAAATATTTTATATTAATTACATTAATTGATTGATTAATAATTAATTAATTTTATGGCTGTATTTATCAATTCTATGATAACCTATTTGGATTTAGAACGTTATTGTACAAATTTGAATATGCGAAACAATAAACGTGATATTACAAAAAGATCGTATTATTAATTACGTACTATAATTATAATAGATAATGCATACTGAATAAACAACGATAATTACAACGTTACGTTCCTATTATAATTTTAATTAAAAAAAAAAAAAATAATAATAATAAAATTCAAATTCAATTTGTAATGTCTTAAGAATATAAAATATAATTAATTAATTAAAATAATTCTCTATATATTTATAATACAACCATAAAATTGAGTGAATAATAATGTTTTAAAATATCAATTTTCGATTATTACTTGATCAGTTGCAAACTCTAGACTATTTCGATGTCTCGATGGACAGAGGTTTTATTAAGTCCAGTTATTTTATAAGCGAAAACTTCCGGATGATGAAGACCACCAGGATCAATTTCTCGGTAAGCAAAACCGATTCTAGTACGATCAAATGATGGGAATTACTTTAAAGTATGAGTCAATTGGTGATTCTTCGTACGATTACAAAAAGTTATTATAAATAGTTAAATTTATGAAATGCATAATATTTTGCAAAACGATATCGGCTCTTCATTTATATTTATCTATTATAACATTGCAACATGTATTTCCATTGAACTGATTAGATACATTTTTAAATATGTATATTCACGTAATAAATTTTTTTAACAATAACTTTAATAATAGTTTCAATTCAATTTATTCAATTCACCTTCTATTCACATATTTCCTTGAATTATCTATTCCGTTCTTGAGAAAGGGACATTCACTTTCTTCTTCGAACTTGACCTCCTTTTCACAGTATAATTAAGCAGTATAAAAAGTATATCACCTCATAGAATATCTCCCCTTTTTTCCCTATTGATCATTGGAATCAAAGTTCATCGAACCACTTGTAATTATTTCACCAATAATGAATTCTTCTATTAAAACTACATTCATAAGAAAATGAAGGAAAAGAATGAAATAAAAGATACGACATAAAAGCTCTTTTTCATTTAAAAAAGATAAAAAATGAAGATATTTCAGATATTATTGGATATGGAAAAAAATTGTTAAACGAGAGTAGAGATTGGTTATTATTGCTCTCTCTCTCTCTTTTTGTTGATTTAAAAAAGTATTTGAATAAGCTTATAAAAATAATAAAAAAAATGTTATTCTATTTTTTATATTCCAATATCTGTTCTCATCTTTCATTTCAAATTTTCATCAAAATTTATAGATATATTATTAATATCAAAAAAAAACCAACGTATTAAAAATAATGACAAAAAAATTTCAAAAACTTTATATAGAAAAAAATTTATATGTTAATTGTTTTGAAAAATTTCTCGTATCTTAAATTATTTTATTATTTCTTATTGAAATATGACGTTTATAAATAATTCATGGAAATTTGAATATTTATGAGTATATTTTTATCCTCGTGAACTAAATTTAAACAGAACAAGTAGTGTTCTAGATGATTCATTCCTGATTCTAGGTAATTTAACGTGACGAGGATAAACTTATGCTACGAGATGAAATTCCGCTAAGAGCGACCAAAATTCCCGTTAGTTAAGATTCTATTCCATATTCTATTACTCGACAGATTCTTACGTGTAATCCATGTTCTATGCTTTTCATATATTCCATATATTTATGAACTCGAAATTTATTTTTAGTTATATTTTCGAAAAAAATTCAAAGACAAAAAAATCTTTCCGTAAAAATAAAAATAAATTAAAAACTATCTCTTCCAAATCTATATTGTTGGTAAATGATAATTTTGTAATAAAATAGAAATTTATTCCATATAATAACATTTCCAATCCCGAAAAATTACTCTAATAAATGCATAAAAAAATTTAACAAAATCTAACACGTAATTATCCTTTAGCCAGAAAAATTACATAATGAAAATTACGTAATCGTTCGTATAGAAGGGAAGAGAATATAAATTCAGGGACCCTAGAATTCACGAAGCAACATATGCGGTAGTTAAATGTGGGAGTCGAGTTCAAGGAAAGTCGTTAAGGCGTTTAATGCACCCTTAAATATCGTCCACCGCGTGATACGTGTTATCGTAGGTCACACGTGACACAAGAATTGCTGTATCACGTTAGAAAAGGGGGTCAAGTTCGAGGCGGAAAGCGAGCAAAAGGCTCTGGGGTCGAGATGTTGTCAAGACGTTGGCGCGCAGGTATGTAATAGGCGCTTTTCACGCGGCGGAAGTATCGATTTCATCGTGGCTTCGCTAAATAATATATTAAAACCGCGCACGCAAAACCGAGGGAGATTATTTTACCCTCTCATTCCTTTTCTATTGGATTTCCTTTCTTTTTTTTTTTTTTACAGTTGAACACTTGCATATTTGATGGATTTATCATTTAAAGATTTAATTTTAAATAAAGGAGAGGAATTAAATACATCCGTGTTTCAGTGACATATTAAAGAAAAATTCCAAACTTAAGAAGCGAAAAGCAAAATGAATAAATAAATTAAAAAATAAAAAACTTGAATCTTCTAATTTTCTAAAAAAAAATCAATTTTGCAAAAATAACTAGACACGAATGTTTTTTTAAGAATAGACACGAGGATCGTGTATCAAAACAAGAAAAAAAAAAAAAAAAAGAAAGAAAAATTTGCATACGAGAAAGTAACATGTGGTATAGGAATAAGATTTCAAGAGTAAAAATGCACGGTTTACGGTGAACAGCTGTTCACGTGCATTATGTTTTCGAAGGTGGAACACGCGTAGGCGAGATCGTAAGGAACGAAAACCGAGAACTCACTTTCAAGCTTGGAAAAAGAGGCAGGTGTCGTGGCATCGATCAAAGCGAGTGTCAGGTGCTTCAAGGCGGCATCAAAGTCAGCGTGGACCTTCAGCATCAAGCCGAGCCGTAGGTGAACCTCGCAGGCTCGTGGAAATCCTGGTTCCACCCATAGCACCTGCTGGAATGCTTTCACGGCCCTGCAATCAGACAGAATTAGTTTTTATTAGATTTTTATTCGCACGTTTGTTAATTGTTTAATAAAATTTCAGAAATAATTGCAATTATTATTTCTTGCTTCGATTTTTTTTTTTTTTTATATCCAGTTCTATTTTATTTCAATTTTTATCTCAATTTTCCAATATTCGCTTCAATAAAATTTCGCTTTTATGTATTTATTTTTATTTCATCTCAATTTTACTTCAATTCCTTATTAAAATTCCTATCGGATTGACTTCAATTCTGCAGAAACGGATTATTAATAATCTTGGGCGTCATTTCATTAATCATCTCCATTACACGGTACTTCAATTTATATCACCATTATATATTTCTTTCATCGATTTTTCCTTAGCTATACTCCATATACTCCAATTGAAAAATGTATCTATAATATTGCACTTTAAGTTGTATCGCCACTTTAATTTATAACTCCACCTTTTCCACCCTTCCACTTCCACTTTCATAATAACTATTATGCAAAAAAAAAAAAATATATATATTTTTGAAATTTCTTTTGAAAAGGGAGGTCGATCGTTCTGTTGGAGAATCTAGTGGAAGATTATTATCGAAATTTATGCTTCGTAAAAAATTCAGGGTTAAGAAATAGATTCACGCGAGGAACGTCTAATCGCGTGCATCGAGTGCGTGCACGAGGATAGTGGACCGGAAGTGGTTAGTGTTCTGGCTCGTCACGCGACAACTCCGAGTTTGGGAGAACAAAACCATAGGGGCAACTGGTGAACGGGCAACAATAACGCATTGCGCAGTTGCAAATGACACGGTACGTGTTTGCAGGTAAATGAAGTCGATCTAATTCGATGACACGGAAGAAAAAACCGGAAATCGTTGTCCCTTGCGTCGACGAGTCTAGAAAATTAATAATATTCCCAGTTATGGGATTTTTCGTCAAAATTTTGCCAAGTATAAAAGTTAGAAAATCGTATTGGTCCTTTTCAATACTCCCATAAAAAGTCACGACAAAATATCAGATGCAGATACAACTCTTATTGAATTATAAAATCAATTGTGTTTAATAGAAACATGTAGAATCATCTCTATGGTAAATTCGTATAAGTATTTGGAAACTTGTTCAAAATTTCAAGTGAAATTCACCCCAAAAAAAGAAATATATCCTTTCTTCTAAGAAATCTAAGAAATCTAATTTAAAACCCGACGAAATATTTTTCCTTTGATCGAAACATTTGAATCTAAAATTAACAAATGAACCTGTGCAATTACCAACGCAAGTGTTTCTCATCAAAGAAGAATGAATCATCGGCTTTAACGAATCAAGGAGAGCGAATTCCAAGTACGGTTATGTCGGGTGTCATTTTATTTCGGCTTTTGGAACCCGCTGGATCCGAGCCAACGTTAAATCAACGCACACAGATTGAGCATTACACTGGGGATAGGCTGGTTTGAAGTTCGTTGCTCGGCTTCGTCCGAGATGGAGTGTACGTATATTGGATGTGTTAGCGGACCGCATTTTCGAATGGATTTTCGTCGCACTTTTCCGAAACCGCCACGGGAAACCAATGGAGTAACAGGTTGCGGTAATGTTTCGTAACCTCGTTGCAAAAAGCATTTGGAAAACGTTTTCGTCCGATTCGAATTGAAATTGGTTTATTGTTCCTTCTATATTTGCCAGAATTGAAGTAGAATTTTCTGAAGATTACATGGAATCAAATAATGAAATTAATTAAAATACAAATATTAATTATCAAATAAAATCAAAATTAAAATATCTTTTTCATTTAATGCTCGTTTCATATTCCTTCCTAGAACGTAATTCCAACTTTTTCGAAAGTAAGTAAAACCATTCCTATTCTGCTAGGAACCAACTTAAATTTAACTGTCCACTCAATCGTCCCTGATCATAATTTAAGAATTTTCCTAAAAATAGAAAAAAAAAGAAATAAATAAAATCGTATCGCGATAAAGATTCACCAGAGACACGCCATTGTTCCATATCCGAGGAGAAGCTGAAGAGGGAGCGGAAGTAACGAGTACGTTAATTCCGACGACAAATTAATTGAAGCTCGGCTGGTGTGCTGGCGCGATGAGAAGTAGAGCGACCGAGATAAAAAAAAAAAGAAAATAAAGGAAAAGAAGAGGGAAAAGGAGGAGGAGAGGAGATGGAGAGAAGGCAAAGAGATCGGTCGGTCGCCTTGGCGTAAAGGCGGTAGTAAATTCATTCACAAGAAGCTATTCATTCATCGCTTCATTCACTCCGCGTTTCCTTTCGGGGTTCGTTGTCTTCGGGAATGAGTCACTGTTACACGCGGCCGACCACCCGTGTGGGAGAGAAGCAGAAATGTCACTGACTCGAGGAGAGTTGCGAAATAATGCAAGGGAAACGTTCGATCGGCACTTTAAACCGACGATAAGAACGTAAATATCGTTAAATTTAAGAATTTTTAATCTTATTCCTATGTATAGTTATGATTTGATCGAACAGTATCGTTGAGTAATATTCTTCTACTGTTTCAGAATTAAAATATATGTGTCGAGTTAAGTGGAATATGTGGGAGAGAAGCGAAGTAGCAATTTATGACATAAGATGTGACATGTATCGTTCGATATATTTCATCATCCTCTTTAATGCGTATTTCTTCCCAATGGAAATAAAACGTGATACAACTTTATATCATTTATATATATTTTGCCTTTTAATAAAGAGAATTTTTATCGAAAATGTGCGAGATAGATGGTTTTTTAAAGTAATTTTTTTTATTATCATATAACGATGAATAATTGAAGAAATAAACGATATATCATAATGTAAAAATAATACAAGATGTATAAGTGTCATTTATTATCGAAAGAGATATGGATGAATGAATTTTAATATTCACACGAGATTCACAAAAATTCGCAATTTTAACGCGTTTTATTATATTTGAAAGAAATCACTCGTTAAAATTATTAGCGAAGGAACGGAATAGCGGGCACTGGCGAAACGGAGCTGATCTGTGACCGACCTATCTCAACCATGACGAAACAGAAACGAAATCCGATACTGATTCTGACGACTGATGTCGCTTGTTTGCTAGTCTCTGCCATTGACCTGGGTATTTATAGGTTGAAACATCGATTCAACAGCGTAGAACAGTTTGTTACACCGTCTGTCGGCTGAGGCTAACGTTGATATTCATCATCACGATTGGAAAAAAAAAAAAAATACAAATCGATAAATCGTGCGACAACCAAAACATACGTGGACGTTTTACGAGCAACATCAACGTTTTAACACCATCGTAAACGCGGTTCAACGTAAATTGCAATCTATTCGTCGAATGTTGTTTAATTTAAACGACCTGGTATAAATATTGCTAAATATTTCAAAGAACTGAATTAATGTGCGAGTATAAAAATATAATTATAGAAGAATTATATAATTCAAAATATTTTTGAAAAAAATTTTGCCTTTGTAAACATTATAAATTCTTCTTGTACACTTTGTTATCAAGATTCCATGTTAAAAATCATATTTAAATAAAATTAAAAATATTAATGCCTTATCGTTATTCCTACATAGATAATACTCACTGAAAATGTTATATAAAAAGGGAAAATGAAAACATAGAAAAATATTTATCAAAAGATAAGACATTGATTTTTAATAATCGTAAATATTATACTCGTTTTTTCGATTTTTAAAATAAATTAAATAAAAACTTTTCAACATTTTCAACGTGTCCTTTTTTCAAAAATATATCATAATACGTAGTTTTCTAATTTACAATGCTGATACAATATATCAACAAAACTGAAAAAATATTTTATCAAAAGCTTATAAATAATATTAATCGTAGCAACTTGCAACTTATTCTACTTATTGACATTTCAAACATCAATGTTAAAATAGATTAGTAATAGATAAGGAAAAATTTAAGATAAAAATTCAAGTTAATCACAAAGTAACTAATAAATATTATATAAACTCTTATAATTCACATGAAAACAAATATCTAATCGATACTCTTTGTATAATACTTTATAACATATTATCTGAAGATTTTTTATAATTCTTCCTTTTTAACGTAAAGAAGTATCACGTAAAGAACTCCGTCTTTCTCCTAACTCTAAATGAAATTTCAAATTTCTCAACTACCGAAAACTACCGTATATTTATTCATTCCCCCATCAAAATCGATCAATGGTCGAACAATCACCTCGAAGCAAATTCCACGAGTCCAAACTTATTCCAAAACCACACGTTGCGTCTATTCAGCAAAGAGCAGGAACCAAGCAATCATCTTCGAACAAATTTCAACGTTGAATCAAGAAGGAGAAGGTAGCAAGAAGCATACTGCTATTGAAATGGAATCTAAATGAAGTCATTAAATCCAGCCTCTCCTCGTTGATATCTCGACGAGAATCGCGAGGACTTTCTCTGGTTATCGTACACGGGGGCATTTCGGATTTCCTGCTCCCGGCCATTTCATGCGTTGAACGCGTGCAAAAGCAATCCTCCGCGTCCACGATGCAGCAGCCTCGAAGGGTGCATTTTAATGCGCCCTTTGCTCGGCAGCCCGCTTTAACACCTCATAAATTAATTACCATCGGTATGACCTATTAATGGCCGTTTTGTCGACGACGAGCGCTCGCGGCGTCGACCACCCGAGACGATGCCGCCTTTTTTATCTTACCCTGTTTTGCCCGCGTATATTTAAATTAATGAGAATTTTAAAAAGATCGAGGAAAAAGAATTTAACGAATTCCTTTATTTTTTTCCCTCGTAAGATCGATATAAATTATGATCGATTAAGAAGGGAAATTAGAAGTTGAATTTTTTGCGAGAGAATCAAAAGCCAAAATTGAGAAAGATTTAAATCAGTAGATTAAAAGAGATGCTTGTTCTAATATTAAAATATAAGTAGGTTACTTGGCTTATAAATCGAGCCTAATAAGTACATATTCAATTATCATACACAAACGCGAACAATGAAACGCAGAAACAAGTTACATTCTCCGG